TGCAACATAGAATGGCATTGGATCGAAAGGTCCTGAGTTGGATATGCATCAATTGAATCATATTAGTATGTCCAATACTTTAAAAGATGAGGGGATCCCTTGCCTTACGTAATGACAATTAACAAAAACAGGCAATTTGTAGTGTTGTAATGGCATCTGGAAGGACTGCCCTATTTGACTACTCCTCGCAGGCTCATATACAAGTATAAGACTCAACTATAACTGACTATGAACAATTCAGTGCCTGCTTTCCAATCCTTTGGGAACATAATTTGGGAGCATCTGATCATATGATTGGTATGTATGCAGATATTAACAATCATTTGAAACAAATTGTCATCACAAACATGTTCAGTGAATCCTTTTTTATTACAGAAATGTGAATAAGCGAGCCTTGTAAAATCTAGTCTTCGCCTGCAAGTTATAAAGGAGTTTCATGGTGAAGGTCATGTGAGGAGGGACAAAACTTTTCAACTTGTGGCATATTTCTGGCCTTCTATGCGTCAGGAGGTCTACAAATTTGTGCAGGATTGTCGGATTTACCAGGTTCCAAAGCGAAAGCCACTAATGCTGGGTTATACATGCCATTGCTAGTACCAACACAACCTTGGACTGATGTGAGCATGGACTTTGTCTTGGGACTTCCTCATACACAATGGGGAAAGAACTCAATTTATGTGGTCATGGATCGCTTTTCACAGATGGTACATTTCATTCCCTACAAGAAAACTGCTGATGTAGTCAATGTGGCGTAGTTATATTTTAGAGAGGTCTACTGTCCACATTGACTACCTTTCTCTATTTTTTCTAACAGGGACACGCGATTTCTCAGTCACTTTTGATGGAGTTTGTGGTGATTAGCAAACACCAAACTGGACTTCAGTAGTGCCTACTATCCCCGGATTGATGGACAAATAGAGGTAGTTAATCGTTCCTTGGGGGATTTTCTACACAGTTTAGTTGGTGATCATTTGAAGATTTGGGATCAGAAAGTGTACCAAGTAGAGTTTGCTTATAAACTTTATGTTAATCACAACACTGGATTCTGTCTGTTCAACATTGTTTATGGCAACGTTTAGCGATCTCTGCTTGATTTTCTTCTTCTTCTAGATATAAAACATGTTCATGGGAAAACTAAGGATTTTATTAAAAATTTGTACCAAGTCCATAAGGCTACAACCAGAATCTACTAGAAGCTACAACCACATATAAGCAAGCAACAAACAAGAAGAGGTGTTTGGTGGAGTTTGAAGTTGGTGACTTTGTGTGGGCAATTTTGACTAAGGATCGTTTTTCTGCTGGGGAATACAACAAACTGGTAGCATGATAGATTGGACTATTTGATATTATTGACAAGATTAATTCTAATGCTTACAGGTTGAAGCTGCCAAGTCAGATTCATACTTATGATGTTTTTCAATGTCAAACACCTTGTTCCATATACAGGCGACAACTCAGACAATGATGATTCCAATTCGAGGATGAATTCTTTCCAACTTGATGCAGTACGTATAGTAGAAGATTACATGAGAGATCAATACCATCGAAAGCAGTGCTGATTAGGCAGCAATTAGGATTAATTTTGGACAACAGTGTTAGAAAATTTCATAAAACCATTCCGAAAAACTCTCGATGATCTCAACAAGAATGAAGTTCCTTCAACCCATTCATTTTTTAGCCAAAAAATGACGTTTATGGCACTTTTTAGGCACTGCTTCAATCTTTCTCTCATTTAATATCTCACCAACTCCTCCAAACAAGCCATAGACACACACATAAGGACATATTATACCATAGTGGTTGTGCTCACAGTGGGTTGAGTTACGGTGGTTGTGCTTTCAGTTAAATGGTCATTCCAGGGTGGTGTGCGCAATGTCACACCTATCCCAGAAAAGAGTTGGGGTGTGGGTAACCCTGAATAATTGACATTCAACTGTCACTTAACAAATTAGATTAACCTGTGCTTTATTAGCTAATCACCACACATAATTATAAGCTTGATATTCACAAGCACAAAGTTACAATGTAACTAGAGCGCCGTACCCTTAAGATATTTAAGCAAACTATATACATTTAGACACATGACATAATGTATAATCAAACGTCAACATTCTCACATCAAGCTAGATTGTCCAGTGGACCATCATCTAACCCCGATAACCTGAAACAAACAACTGTGAGGAGGTGAGCAAATCACACGCTCAGTGAGTATATTCGAGACATGTAGAAAGAAAATACACAACCATAACATAGCTATAAATATATCACACATATACATTTAAAATAGAATCCAAAAATCCACCATCCAATGATCAACAATTCAATTTCCAGCACATATACGAATACATGCCAAATAAACCTTACAAGTGAAAATCAAATTTCCAATACTCAATATCCAATATTCGACTATCCAATAACGCCCAAAAGTCTTGACGAGAATTAACGACTACCCATTTCCTCTCGTAAGTCTCGACAATTACATTGCTACCTGTTCACACACGGGAGTCACGATAATCACATCGTTGCCCGTTTACGCCCAAAAGTCATGACAATCACGTCATTACCTTTGTACGCCCGAGAGTCACAACAACCATCTCACATAAAAACACAACACAATCATTTCAAGTACTTGGAACCATAACCAACAATGATTCACCATTCACAATACAAACATAGCAAGTAATATATAATTAAATAGCAGTCAATTAGTTATATTTTCAAACAATATGAATTAATATACTCGCCTCGAGTTAATTTCAACCCAAATTCAGTCTTTTTGTACAAGTCTAGGTGAATCTGNCACCTCGAGTTAATTCCAACCCAAATTCAGTCTTTTTGTACAAGTCTAGGTGAATCTGCCGTTGACGTTGTTGCCTCAGTACTTAACGTACGACGAAATAAGACATATGGGTACCATTCACAAATACATGATATTATTCACCTCATGCATTAATGATTGATTAAGTTTAAGATATCACATCTCTCTTCCTTTACCCTTTGTTACCACTTGAATCATTTAAGCTTTGTTACCACTTGAAACATTTAAGCTTAACTCAATCGTAACTTATCTCCCTTTAGCTTAATTATGTGTAAATAACCAAGCAAGACTAGTTAGGATTGATTAAAACTGATTAAAACCCATTAGGATGCTTGGAGATGCTTTGAGGTCACATTTCTCTTGTAAAGTGCTAAGTTGGCCGCCTGTTTAATAGTTGCAGACTTTCGGCCCACTTTCAACAACTACCAATTTTCACACAAACAAAATGAGGTGTTTTATCCTATATGGTTAGAATGATCTATGAGTCTCGGTTCCAACAAAAATATAGTGCATCAATCAAAATTTTTTAGAGGGAGTTATTGTGATTTTCTCATGGATTCTCAAGCTGAAATTGTTTGTATAGGTACACGTTGTACCGGTTTGACCAAAATTGTACCGGTTTGACCAAATTTGAATCAGTTCATCGCAACAATGTACCGGTTCAACCAAATTTGAACCGGTTCATTGACGTTGTACTGATTCATAACTTCACAGTATCTTATCAGATACCCGATGAACCGGTTCATTGATGCTGTACCACTGTTCTTCTGTGACAAACTCTTCTGCATCTACATCCTTCTCCACCACACAACTCTCAAACACTTACGGCTTACCCATAAATTATAACCCTAAATCATATAGAAACTTTTACTAATAACAAAACCCAATAACAACTATACATGAACCAAAACAATAAACTACACCCAACCCTTCCATGGTTTACCAACAAAATAAAGTGAGTTTTTTTTAGAGGAATTTTTACCAAACGAAATCGATTCCTTTCAATTCCTGAATAAGAACTCGCTTGATCCAATAACCCAAGAAAAATAATTCCATTCTACGCTGACTTCGAACCGAAGAGCTAAAACACCACACTGGAGGATTTTCAAATCCAATTCTCACCCTCTTGTACCGGTTCATGCTTATATGGAAGTAAGAGGAAGGCTTAAAGTGACGGGTGTCCAGTGACTCACCCAATTTTTGATCTAAATATATTTAGATCTCCTTTAGTTTCCCTCCTTCACACATACACCCGACACAATTTCCATCATCTATTAAATTATACCCAAAATATTTTATCACTTAATAAATTACCCCCAAACACATTCTATCATAAAATTCAATCTCTATGGTTAACTTTTATCCTATCACCTAACATCCCATAATTCAATAACTATAATTTGGCCCCCAAAGTAATTATCACAAATTATATATTAACCCCTAATATTTATAAAATGTTTTGCATCTGCAAGTTCGGGTCTCACGCGCATGGTGATTCAGTTGTGTGTAATGGGTGGTGGTGCATAGTGGATGGAGGAGTGGCAGTGGTAATTCAGTGATTGTGGTGAACAAGATAGAGAGGAGAAGACAAGATTGAGATAATAAAGAGGGTAAGATGATCATTTTGCCATTGTTGTTAACAACGTTAGCTGTTCACTTTAGTCCAAAAAAACCAAAGGAGTTATGCGCTAATTTTCAAACCATAGGAAGGTTAGGTGCAAAAGACCTACTAAACCAGATAAAGTTGATTTTACCCTTAAAAAAATACCATTGACAATATAAAGATGATATTGTCACAGAAAGTGACAAGATAAGGATATATATATTTTTTCAATCGGTGATAATACTAGTTTTCTTATGCAACAATGTTATTGAGATTTAATTTATTGACATAATTCACTATAGTTATTGGATTGATTGTGAATTCTATCAAACATTAGAACTTGGTGTAAATCAAACGATTACAATGAAGTTACATCATTAGATCAACAAATTAAGTTAATACATTAGGTCCAACAAAGTCAGTCTTTCTTGTTAATTGGACTTTAAGGTTTCCTTAAGAATACAAAATGATTTATTTTTTTCTCTTCCATAAAGTTAAAAAGAATAATAATTTAAGCAGACTTTTTTTGTTAGATGATGAACTTTATTAGATAACAATCACAAACATAGGTCTGGGATGGGAACGTCCATCTTCTTCCAGATACACTTGGTTACACAAATTGAAGGGAAAAAACATACAACACTGCATTATTTTCTGCTTCTTCTTTCTAAATTTATTGCATTCTTCTGTAAACTTTTCGGATTTCCTCTTCTGGGAATTCGTTGCAGTGCCTCAAGGTGTCTGAGTCTCTGATTGAAAACTGATAGGAGAAGTAGTAGCACAGCAACGACAACATGAGCCTGGTGGAGGAGGTTCACAGCATACACAAGCAGGACATAAGGGTGGCCTCTGAAGAAGTTCTGCATAACAAGCAAGAAAAACACTCAATATCCAAAGTTCATTAAATGAATCAGCAACCAATATATTGGCCGGAGAGGTTAGATTTAGATCGATGGCAAGTGTTCATGTGCCCAAACGATATAGTCGTGGTTTTGAGTTAGGAAACGGGTAATCAGTCTCTCCCAATTGCATAGGTAAGACTGTTTGCCACTTGCATATCTCAGAATCCACCATCGACATTAATTTTGCATACTAAATATGATATTTTTAAATGACATGTGTATAGAAGGCCGTTATGGAATTACCTCGATGAGTAAATCGAGCTGCTTCAGATGATAACATGGGAGAGAAAACTATGGCGAAGATCATAAGCGTCACCAGAGTAGACTTTGGAGAGAAACTTGCCATTGTTTTGATTCTGAACGCTGCTAGATTTGTTGAGATAAGCATGTCATATACATAAACTTGAGCCCATTTATATAGATTATGATGGCCTTTGGTCAGAGATATAACATATGCTCATACTCATACCTAATGCCTTATTGCTTGAATTGAAAAAGTTAATCCCACTGGCTGACCTTAGACATCAAATTGGACTTTCACCACTTTGAATAAATTTTTTTAATTGACTGGACTTTTTAAAAATAGATAGAACGACAAAGAACTCTCCTCCCCCCTCCACTCCCACCCCCCCCAAAAAAAAAAAAAAAGAAGAAATGGGATAAATATATCTGCTTGGATGCATTTTTAGTCTACGTACATCTTGTGTTAAATTTCTGTTTACTAATCAGGATATCGTTTGATAATATTTTTTGAAGCATTCTTTTGCTTTTGTTTTTTTTTATTTTTTTGGTTTTTAGTAATTTTTTAAAGTAGTATTTTCTACTCTTTTTTTTTCTTGTTTGAATTTGCATATTTCCTCCAAGTTTAATTATATGTTTAATCTTTTGTTTTTGTTTAAAAAAACTACTTCAAAAAGGTGTTACCAGACAACATATTTATCTACTGAGCTGATCACACTACATAAGTTATTAGCAAAAGACTCTACCACTCGAATCAGATAAAAGAATTCTTGATAAGTTGGAGACCATGTTAGAGTGTGTGTGTGGAGATGGGTTTTAGTGGACGATTACTCTATGCAGATTTAAATGTCATAGAGTCGAGTCATGAAAATAATCTCATTTTTTTCATTAGTAAGATTAAAATTACATAAATCTGATTTAGACTCTGCAACAATGGGAATACTCCCTCTCTCTCTCTTTCTCTTTATATATATCTAATATTTTAGTCAATAAGTTGAATTGTAAACTTATAAAAGCACAACAATAGTCAAGATTGATTTAATTTTTATCTACTTTGATCTTATTGTACAAAATTCATCACAAATTTTTTTTCCTATCCAAAAATATCAACTTCTCTACATAACCTTTAATGCCAGACAACACACTCCCCATGATCAAACAATCACATCAATCAACACCCACGTCTCTCTTCAATTTAATTTTAAACTGCGCAATTAAAAAAAATAAATTTTTATTTAAAATACATATATTGTTGTTAAGAAATATAGGACTATTTTGTTTATTAAAGGTAGAATAGTCATTTACTTTCTCTTTGTTTAGCCTATATATAATTTTTTTGTATTTAGGTAAAATCACTTCTTTGTATTCAATTGAATTATGCAGTATCAATAAAACTCTAGTCTCCTCTTTTCTTATCTCTTGTATTTCTCTTTTATTAGATTGTTTAATATGGTATCAGAGCAAAGTTTCATGGGACAAGGCTTAATTTCAAACACATTTGTTCCGTTTTTACAATATAGTTTTCTTTGTTATTTGATTATGGCTACTGAAAGAAACGATTCGCTTCAGTCTGTGAGTGTGAGGTTGGATGAAAAGAATTATTCATATTAGAGTTATGCGATGAGAAATTTTTTTAAGAGTAAAAAGATATGGGGATATGTTAGTGGAACTTCTGTGAAACCTAAGAATACTAATGCAGGTTATGCTGCTTTGATAGATGTCTGGGAAGCAGACAATGCAAAAATTATTACTTGGATTAATAATTCTGTTGAGCATTCTATAGGTACACAGTTGGCAAAGTATGAGACAGCAAAGAAGGTTTGAGATCATCTGCAAAGGTTATTCACTCAATCAAATTTTGCAAAGCAGTATTAATTGGAGAATGACATACAAGCTCTTCAGTAGAAGAATATGAGTATTTAGGAGTTTTATTCTACTATGACAGATCTTTGGGATCAATTGACTCTTACAGAATTGGCTGAATTAAAGGCATGTGGTGCCTATATTGCTCGTAAAGAGTAGTAACGGTTGATACAATTTTTAACGGCACTTCATAGTGATTTTGAAGGACTTAGAGGTTCAATTTTGCATCGTTCTCCACTTCCTTCTGTTCACTTAGTTGTCAGTGAGTTATTGGCTAAAGAAATACGCCTTAAATCTTATTTTGAAAAGGGAATTCTTATTACTTCTAATAATTTTGTGCTAGCAGTACCTTCTAAATCATTCTCTAATAATCAGAATAAACCTTACACAAGGACTGCCTTTGATGAGTGCAATTTCTGTAAGCAGAAAGGTCATTGGAAGGCTCAATGTCCTAAGTTAAGACAACAGAATCAATCGCAGCAGTAATCTCAAGCTTGGAAGCCTAGCAACCAGTCATAATATAATGCTCATAGACTACCTCAGGGTTACAAACCACCATAGTCCAATACTGCAGCAGTAGTTTTATTAGGTCCTTTCACCGATTCTAGTATTTTGGCTAAGCAATTTCAGAAGTTTCTTGTTAGAGTATGTGTGACTCATATTTGCTGTGTGCATAATGGCAAGGAGGCAGATGCCGGAGCGGGCGGAGCGTAGCGGAGTGGAGCGAAGACAAATAAGATACATCTTAATACAAATAATTAACTTTCTATCAACTTTCTTTCCGATTTTAGAGTGATCGATTTTGGTGAGTTGGAAGGAAAGTTAATCCATTCACTTTTCCATCATTCCTTACCAAACATGATGTTAGGAAGAATTACACTTAGACTTTGAGATTTATCACTTAAACACTCAGATTTCTTGATATTTTAAATATTAGATACAAACTCTTGAAGTTTATACGCGCGTAACACTTAGACTCATGTCATCAAATGTCTATTAGTAAAACTATTAATAAATTATACTTAGACCCCTTGAAGTTTGTAGATGTATAATATTTAAACCCTTTAAATTTAAAATATTATACTTAGATAAAAAATTTTTTAATCAAATATTTTAAATTATACAACCAAAACTCATGTTCTATTGTCTCATTTATTAAAATAAAATCAAAAATAAAAATTCAAAATTTTCTTAAAAAATCATGTATATAATTATACTATCTATTGGAATAAAACTAAAAAATCAAACAAGGGTCTAAGTCATTCATAATAGAAAATGAATTTTACAACCAAAATTCATATTCTATAATGTCATTTATTGAAATAAAATCAAAAATAAATATTCAATTTTTTTTTAAAAAATCATAATTAGTATACAATTATACTATCTACTGGAATAAAACTAAAAAAAATCAAATAAATGGTCAAACTGTAATAGACACAATATATTCTAACTTTAATTGAGATAATTTGATCTTTTAAACAATTAAATTAAATTCCAATAGATAGTATAATTGTATACTAATTATAATTTTTTAAGAAAAAATTAAAATTTTATTTTTTAAGAAAAAAATTAGATTTTTATTTTTTATTTGATTTCAATAAATATCATAATAAAATATGAATTTTGGTTGTAAAATATAAAATATTTAATATTCTATCTTCATTTGGTGTTTTTTTTGTCTAAGTATAACATTTTAAACTTGAGGGATCTAACTTTTATAGGCCTATAAACTTTAGAGGATCTGGATGTAATTTACTAACAGATACACTAATAGACATCGATGGTAAGGGTCTAAGTATTACGCGTATATAACCTCAAGAAATCTGTGTATAATATTTCAAATATTTGGAGATCTGAATGATTAAATAACAAATCTCACGAAATCTGAATATAAATCTCTCAATAACGTAAGTTTTTTGATAGTAAGATTAAAATTGCCCACATCGGTTTCAAACCCCGCACTAGTGAGAATACTATTCTATAATAAAATATAATATAAAAATTAATTTTTATTATAATTGAGATCGTTTTAAATTTTATTTTAAAATTAATCCAACGGCTAATATTTAATTTTTAAAATTTAATAGAAAAAATAGGCTTTGTTTGGGGTGATTTTTCAAAAATATTTCTAAAACTTATGATTTCTTGTAAACATTTTTTTCATAAAAAAATTAGTAATTAGAACAACTTATTTTATTATTTTCAAATAAATCAAAAATAGTTTTACCACTTAAATAATTAAATAAATAAAAAAATAACTTTTATCTTTTTAAAATCACTTCTCTATAAAATATTTCATTACCACCCTCGTCATCGCCCCGCCACCACCATTACCACCATCACCCTCGCCATCCCACCATCACTACCACTACTATCGCCATTGTCATCGTCACTACCAACAACCACTCGTTGTCGCCCACCACTGTCACCATCCATTCTTACCCACCCCCCACTACACCTACCACTATCACTGTCATTGCCCACGACCACTTACACCCACCACCACCATTATCACCGCCCACCATAACCCACCATTGCCATTATCACCATCGTCGCCCCACCACCACTGCCAACCCACCATCACCATCACTACCACCGTCGTTACTCATAACTGTCATTACCACCGTCTTCACAGAAAACTCACCACCACCATCATCACCGTTGTCACTTACGGTTGTCACCGCTTACCACAACCATCACTGCCTCTCGCCACGGCCCACCCCACTATAACCGGTTTTTAAATTTATTTTTCTCTCTTCTATATTTGTGATTTAATTTTGAATATAAATATAAATATTTTTATGATTAATAATTTTTATATTAATTCGTGTCTTCAGACAGGAGTAATAACTATATATATGAGTCATTAATTACGTCATTCAATGGCTTGTAAACTCTTTTTTCTCAAATCTTTTTTTTTACTCGTAGGTCAAACTTGAGAAGGCAGTATTCTAGCTGGAGTGTGGCCGGCAAATGAATAGTCAATAAAAAGATCTGATTATTGTTTCCGTATCCAGGCTGCAACACAGAATTACGGAAAGAGTTATTTACCGACAAATTTCAAACAATATTATCCATTTACAATATTTTAAACTTATTTATTAAATTATAATATATTTTTAAAAATTAAGATTATTGTTAAAAAAACAGAGCCAGTAATCCCACTTTTAATCTTTTGTTGAATAAGACAATAACAGTGTTTCAATCACATATAAAAAGACGGTGTTAAACCCAATAAATTTATTCTTAAAAGTGTGGTTATTTGATTAATAAGTTTAACAGTGCTGTAAATTGGTAATTATTAATTTAAATTTTTCAAAAAATAATAAATAATTTCAGAATTAAGTTACTAATATTAGACTAGTTAAAAAATAAAATTAAATGTTTTGTGTAGTCAATTTCATCATATTACAGCGTCAAATTAAACTAGTTTTTCAAATCACTCTCAACACTATTCCATTCAAATGCATACAGCTATAGTTGTGAGCTATCGAGGACTACCACACAAAGCATTTTACTTTCTCACACATCCTTACTTCTACTAAGCGGCTTAGCCGCCTACTTTGACATATTATTGTCGCCAAGAACGGAAATAATGCTGTCCTTTCTCCCTCCATCGTTAAACCTAACTCTCCTACCTACCTATGTGGTGTTTGGATGAAGTTGACTGTTATCAGAGTAGAATCCACCTAACATGTAACGACATTTTCGATGTTGACCTAAACTCAAACTTAATTTGAGTAAAAAATTTAATTTAATATCAACTCCTTCAATGATAAAACTCAATTTTATACTAAGATATTTTTTTAAAAAAATCCCTATATTATCTTAAAATTTATTATATATATAACGTATGTATTGTGTGTGTGATGAATATATATATATATATATACACGCACACACACAATCACACAATAACACAGATCTGAAATAAATTCGACTTCGTTGTTTTAGATCTGTGTTTTGGTGCTCCACCTTCATTGCAGACAAAGAGAGAGTAGAGATGGAGATGCTGGAGAAGAAGATGTTGAAGAAAGAGAGAGGAAGTGGAAAAAAAAAAAGGTTGAAGATTTTTGCTGCTAAGGGACTCAAAGGGTATACCTCATTAAAGTCTCAAAACTGTTCTCTGTGTTTCCAATATTTTCAAAGAAAATTCTGAAAATAAGTTACACTTGTTTTTTGTTTCTTTGCTCCAAATCTTATTTTTTTCCCAAAAACTTGAGAATAAAAATATTAAACAAGCAGATTTTTGATGTTTTTAAAATTTTGAAAAAAAAAATTGTTTTTGAGAAGATAACTAAACACGCCCCAAGTTTTTGGCTAAAAGAATACAATGAGAATTTAGTAAAATGTTACCGTTAGAATTTGGGTAAAGAATTTAAGTCTCCTTCAATTTAGGTCAGCTCGTTTTTTTTTGGTTAATTGTATTCGAGGTTCCTAAAATATGAAGTTTATTTCATTTTGATTCTCAATGTTTCAATTGTATCATTTTAGTTTTTGAAATATTGAATATGTCTTTTTATGGTCCTTCNTTTGGTTCTCAATGTTTCAATTGTATCATTTTAGTTTTTGAAATATTGAATATGTCTTTTTATGGTCCTTCAAGAAGACAATGTCCAGATTGCTAACGATTTTTTATTATAAACTTGTCATATAAATATGGACAAAAAAATAATTTGAATAACTCTTGACCAATTGTTTACTCAAATTTTGGTTAAATATCTACCTAAATTACACAGTTTTGATCAAGAGCTATCCAAATTTTAGTCAAAAGGTACCCATACTACACATTTTTTTGTCAAGAGCTACCCAAATTTTGTTTAAGAGCTATCAAAATTATTTTTTGTCTATATTTAACTATTACGTGACAAGTTTATGATAAAAAATTATTAACAATCTGAACGTTATCTATTTGAAGGACTATATAAAAACATATTCAATATTTCATGGATCAAAATGATGCAATTGAAACATTATAGATCAAAATGCGACAAGCCACATACTTTAAGGACCTCTAGTGTAATTAACCTTTTTTTTTTAACTACGAGGTGTCTAGGCCTATGTCAACTAGTCTCTCGAGCTTAGTGATTGGCCATCGTGGTTTGAGTTAGATTATAGTATATCCCTACAGGGAGAAAGGTGGTTAGCCCTTATGAGGTGTAAAAAAGAATTAAACCTGATATCTCTGGGTTATCAATTGTTAGACTCAACCACTAAACCATCTCTATATTTGTTACAGGTATAAGTAAAGGCTGGAGATGGTTTTTGAGTCAATTTTATTAAAATTTAAATTTGAATCTGTTTAGACTTAAAATACAAAATTATAAAGACATTAGATGCATGTATTGTTGGCAAGGCTGAAGTCATTAAAAAGTTGTCAAGTCTCAAAATCTGAAGAAAAAAGGGGAAATGATCGGCCATAGTTTTGGTTTAAAAGAAGGAATAAATGTCTGGGAATTACAAAGTCAATCAATCGTCAATAATGGAAAAAACTATCGAAGAGAGTGACTATAAAAGGAGAAAAAGAAAAATGTTAAAGAACAAATCAAACCCCCAACAAGACTCATGATCAGGACATTTAGGAGTAGTGCTAAAGTTAATTTTAGAAAGTATTTAGTGCTGTAATCAAAGGTTGTTAATTCAGTCTCTCTGTAACTAAAACTCATTCGATTGAATTAATAAAAGAATTTACTTTATTAGTTCATCATTTTGTGTGTTTTATCGCTTTCAAATTTCATCCAATAAAATCTTAAAACAAGGCAATTGAACTCATCCACAAACAATCACTTGAGAACTATATCTCAATTGATCTTGTTGTAAACCTGTCATGGTTGGGCTGATGAAATATATATATATATATAGGAAACTTATATCCTGGTTTGCACATGAAAATGAACCTATACGGCTATACCACACCCACAACTAACCGATGGGTGGTGCATCCTAGCTCTCACCTTTTTTGTTCCAAGGTTATTTCAAGGTTGATTACATGTCTCTGAGATTTACGTTATAATCATAAGTCCAAAGTAACCAAATAATTGTTTCGATTCCCATTTAGAAAAACAGAACGTACACAATCAACTTACACTTCCACAACAGTTGCATATTAATTAGACAAACAAACAGATGTTTGGTTACACAGATTTGTTTGAAGCAAAAGAGAAAAAAACATGAACACTGCGTTGTTTTCTCTCTTCTTTCTTAATTTTATTTCATTCTTCCAACTAGGTTTCAGAATGCTGCGAATTGATTTAGTGGCAGCCGCAAGGTGATTCAGTCCCGGATTGAGTATTGATCTGAGAACCACAGCAACGACAACATGAGCCGTGTGGTGGAGGTTCACAGCACACGTCACAACCACCACAACTGAGTTTCCCAGAAAGTTCTGCATAACAAGAGAAAGAAAACATAAAATGAAAATGAAAACAAAAACCCATGAAACGAATAAGCAAGCAAACAACAAATTGGAGATGTTTGAGTTAAAGCGATAACAAGTGTTCATCCGTCCTAAAGAGACTTTGCAGGTTTGAGCCTTATCTTTTTTCGACATAGTGTGTGCTAGGTACGACATTTTTGATGGATAGTACAAATATAGGATGGTTACGACTTACCTCGATGAGTCAATCGAGCTGCTTCAGATGGTAATGGGGGAGAGAAAACTATGGCGAAGATCACAAGTGTCACAAGAATAGAACTTGGAGAGAAATTTGCCATTGTTTTGAGAGCAAATGTTGCTAAATTTGCTGAGATGAGTATACCATCTAAATGTGCTTGTGCCCATCTATATAGACTGAATCCCACTTGGGTATTAATTGTGAGGGAGTTTTCATGGACCTCACCATTTTGAAAAGTTTTTTTTATTGACTAAATATTTAAAGAAATTAATAATGTTATTTGAACTTAATTTGCTAATTTATTCCATCACAATCATTAGATTGATTATGGGTCCCGATAAAGATTCAGATCCATAGTTAATTCAATAGTTATGAATGATTAGGTTAACAAATTATCATTGCTCTAAAGAGATAGTAGGATGACGAACTTCTCCCACCAAAAAAAGAAGAAGAAAGAGACAACCCAAAAGTGTATACACATATTTGCCAATATATAGATTTTGATAGTGGAATAAGATTACTTTGTTGCGACCCTAATATCATAAGATAGACTCTATTTAAGTAGGGATAAAACTGTGTACATTTGATTATTTTCAAATTTTATTGCGACCACAATTTTGTGCACTGGTTTTTCTTTATTTATATAACCTTAAACTTCACTTGCCTATTGATAATGCACATTGACAAAGATGGCTGGCAAATGATTATTTTCTTATTTTTTTATATTTTTAAGGGGTTTTTGTTTCCACAAAAGGGGCATAATAAAAAAAGGCCGATATAAAAATTTAGCTTTAGTCTATTGTTGATGAAAAAACGTATTAGCATCAATAAATTACCGAACAAAAGGTAGGTATTTGTTTCAACAAAAATTATATAAACAAAAAATGACTATTTCCACCGGAAAAATGCTGAATTAAAAAAAATAAAATTGGAGTCCAATTGCTTTTGTAGAGACTATTTAATCACATACTCGAGGAAGTAGTACTCTTGATCCAAATTCATTTTTTCTAAGTAATACTCTTGCGAGTGGTTTTATTTCAGTATTGAAAATATTATTTTTTAATATCGTATATTCATTTTTTTAATAAAAATGCACAACATCTATTTTTTATTTTATTTTTTTAATTAACAATAGTAAATAATTCGAATTAAAATATATAGTTTAAATTACTTTTTAATACAGTATCTCCACGACATCATTAGTCACCTACGTTGACATGGCGTTTTAAGAGAGGAACACAAATGGTTGCCCTTCCCTTTTCGATTGTGACACTTCAATGTTGTTTATTGAATATTCCGAAAAAAAAAAAATTACATACCGAATTTCCTTTGCAGAAAAGAGGGTTTTGATACAACGATAAAATTTACATCCAAACTCGTGAATTAATCACACACTATGTCCTTAATAGCTTTGCTAGAGAGAAAGTGTATTCCTTACTCGTTTTTTCGAAAAGTGTATTCCTTGATCTTAAGTAAAAAAAGATTTTTTTTTTTTTTTATTCTGAATAGTTTTAAAGTCCTCATCGAGAGTCGCTCTACGAGACGTAACTTAGTCTTCAAATTGTCTCAGTCCGTTCTCAACTTGTCTCACTGTCTGGTTGGCCTTTCCACTGGACTAAGTAGAATTCCACTCAGTGCACAGTGAGTGTATGGATTAGCCCGTGTAGCAGTCATGTATATAGCCTCCAAAAGGCTATATGATCCACTACTTTACAACCCACTTCTAGCTCTCCTCGCCATGTTAGGTGTCTGGACTCGTCTAAATTCAGTATAATTCACGGCTTCAGCTTTTCACCACCTCAGTTTGTCGGAAATTACTACAATTCTTGGTCACATAATTTTTCAAAACTCATAACGTTTTTGTATTTTGCACGTGAATTTGTGCTTTTATTTTATAAAATTCGTGAATTTAATTTTTCAATTCACGAATTCGATTAATTCACGCTTTTACTTATTTTATTTTTATTTTAATTGTGCATAAAATTTTAATTTTTTATATTTTATTTATGTTAAACTATTATGGGTAAATATGGGTCTGTATGCATATAATATGATGCTTTCAATGCGTTCTTACTCTCAATATTTTTTGAATGTTAACACTTTCGCACTTTTGCTCTCGCTTTCGCTCTATGTGATCTATGTCATACTCGCTATACTTGCTACAAAGAGAGAGATTTGTAACAATAGGAAATAAATCAAAATAACTATGGTTTGCATCTTAGGAATAGGAGTGTAACTTGGGCTAGTTGGGTGAGTTGAGGGATCAACCTTAATCCAACTTTAGGTATAAAATATTCAACCCTAACTCTAACTTTAACTTGACCTCAACTTGAGATACTCAACTAAAGTATTACCTAAGTTGATTTCGGACAAACTCAGGTAGAAATCAGATTATCTAATTCATGTTGGCAATTCGAGCTCAACAAATAATAATTCTCAATTATTTGTGTGCCTTTGCGCAATATTGGACTATTAAAAAGGCTTACACGACCTACTAAGATGAAACTCATTAAAACATCTTATTAAGGGTGTAAAAGTGAACTTTCTTTATATAAGGGAGAGGGGAGAAGTCATTTGAATTGTCAATCCGACGTGGAATGACAATTTCTTGTTCTTCTTTTTTCTTTTTACTTATTGCATATTGATTGTGTAAACTTCTTCCATCATCTATAATCTTTATAAATCATACTTCACTCTTCTTTAAATAATAACAATTACAAAATATATATTTATTTTTTATGTTTATATTTATATTATATATTGCTTATATAAATATAATACATAAATTCGGATTGAGTTCGAGTTGAGTCCGATTTCATCAATTTGGGTTGGGTTTAGGTTAAACCTGTGAACCTGAACCTTACTCAAATTCAATTTGGGTTGAAATTTTTGTCACGACCCAATTTTTTTTTTCAAGAAATAACTAGGCGAGATTAAAGAATAAAACATTCTTTCAATTATTATTAACACATTTGGTGTGCGATTACATAAAAATTAACTAAAATATTCTTGAGACACAAAGAGAAATAATAATAACACTCTCTATCCATCGTCCCTCCAGCTTATTCCCCTGTCTTGCTTCATATTTTTGAAAAATGTTAAATAGAGATGAGGTCACCCGCCCAGTAGAATAACATTTATCAATGAATATCAAGGTTTTAAAACAACACATAATATAATTGAATAGCAGGTAAATGTAGGAATATGTCAAATTAATGAATCAATTAAAAAAAATACAGCACATATCAATCACATCAATTCATCAATTTTTTGATCCACGGGTGAACCGCCTTTAAAAAAAATTTTGGGGTCTTGCACCCTGCATTTAAAAAAAATTTAAATGATGTTGGGAACAAATTACAACCATAAAAATTTGATTTGATGTTAAAATTAGATTTTAAAATGCTCAAGTTATAAACCTATGCTATCGGTTGGTAATTATTGGAGTTATTTTTAATCTATACTATGTTACATATATAGTGGTGTTTAACAAATGTATCTATATATTCAAGTAGACAATATATATATTTTCACAAGCACAGTAGGCCCGGCTCTAGGGCCCAAACACTAAAATAGTTGCATAGGGGCCCTAAATTAAACTATTAAAATAGTCATCTAGAGCCCCAAAGATATAGGACCCCAATTTATTTTTCAGCCTAGTTCAATTTTATACTCTAATGCCTTTTGAATTGACCAATTTAAAGACCTAACATATTTTAGAAGTCTATCTAAAGCCTTATAGAAAGTTCTAAAATGTAATAATATTTTCACAAATTTATGTAAAGCCTTATAGAAAATCTTAAAAGATACCAAAGTTTTCTAGAAAAAATCTAAAAGTAACGAATTTCTAGTTTTACAAGTAGCAAACTCTTTCAAATTCCTTTTACTATTTTTTCCGCAATTCTCGCCACCTCTGTCCAACTGCTTGTCTCCCTTCCATTCTCATTGTTTTACTTTGGTTCTTTGTCTTTATCTCTAATTCTCTTGTTGTTTCTTTAAGACTTTATTCAATTTACTCATCTGTAAATTCCTGATTTCACAATTATACCCATTTTTTTGCCTGATCTTACTCGATCCAAAAATCACTAATAATCATTAAAAAAATTATTATCTTCCTAAAATATTAAATAAAATTATTTGAAATACTCGCTTTAGGCCCAATTTGTGTTGGGTCATTCTTACTCCTACACATCAAATCTCATGCCCCTGTTTCAAGCAAATAGAGCAATACTTGCATTCCTTCTCATAGTTGATCCTCTGCCACTTACCACTCAAACCTCCCATGTCAAGCTAAAACCACCTAGGGTTATTTGCAAGTAGGTTCACTTCGATGTAAGCCCTAGCCACACTTGGCCTAGTCAATTGTAGGGTTGGGTTATCAATTACCTAGATGCAACCTGCAAACTTAGAATGTCTCACAAACTCTCTCTGTTGAAAATATGTATAGGTAGGTCAGTGGTAGGTCAGACAACGAAATCCAGGTTGTGACTACCGAAGGCTCCACCCCAAGTTGAAATTTAGGAAACCACTTAAAGAATCTGAATAAGAAACCTTCGATGTAGGTCGCATCTTTAAACCATGACTTAACGTAGTCTTCGTACAAACTGAAAGAGTCAAAACATGCTTGGGATTAAGAATCCCCACTGTGAACTCACCCTTAGGCCACCAACGAGATGTAACGAACTCCTTAATCACACCAAGAGATGATTTCCCATACGCATACTTACCAATCAGCATTTGTTGAAACACCTTCAACAGCTCTTGAGTTTCGTCTGGAGTCCATTACATACCTGACTCTCCATTGTTATACACGACTCTTTTTGCAGGTTTGGATTGAATATAAGGAGCAAGAGGCATAAGAAAAGATTTTCCCTCATCTTTCAGATTATCAAAAAATCCAATGCATTTACAACATCAGGAATCATGTCAGAAAGATTCAATGCATTCTTGAAAAGTGATGCAAAATTCTTGATGCTATCTGAAAGTTTTGGTAGAATTTGTCGTTGGGATTGATCAGTAGTTAGAGAGAAGTGAGAGTTTCTCTCTCTAAAATAGAAATAAGTCTCCTCCTTAATTTTTTTTTTCACAATTTATAGGGTT